TTTTATTTCCCTGACTCTTGAACAGGGTCCAGGCTTGCTCCTGAGGTTTTTCATCTGGATCAGCCTGAATAAAACAGATTTTCTTGCAACTGAAAACCCTTTATTTGCAAAAGGTTATGATAACCAAAAAGAAGCCAAGCTCCCCCAGTTTTTGTTTGGGGGGTGGGATGAGGAGTGGAACTGGCTTCCTGCAGTCCTGTTAGCATTAAAGTGGGATTGTAGGACATTTATTTAAAAACAAAACAAAAAATGAAAGCTATCATGTTTGTGCCTTGGTGGAGCATGCCAGGATGCTGTTGCTAAGATGATGCATGCTGGTTCTGGTGTAAATAGTTATTTGAGCAGACCCTACCCTAAGGAGTTGAGTCTCAATCCTTTCTCTCCTGTATAGGAACAAATCAATTATTCTAAGGAGGCAGTGTTGTCTCTCGGTGCCGTTGTGTTGCTTTTTGAAAACGTTTTGTAAGTTAGTCCTTAAGTGGGATAATTGCTTTCAGCATTTGCAAGTTAAATGAAGAAAGCTCTAATTAGATTTTATAAAGTGGCTTAGCATGTTGAGAAGGCCTTTCATAAAGTATACTGTGTATTCACTTGGCATTGCACAATTGAATTTTGTGTAGCACTGATGAAACCAAAAAAAATCCTATTTGCCCTTGGTCGCTTCTGGGCACTTAAAGGATTGAAAGCCTGTCCTGGGTACTCCTAGCTATACATACTCCCTTCCTTTCCCTGCCATCCCATCCTTATCGGGGCATTTATATTTTAGAGACCTGAGGAGCTGCAATCAAGACCAACCCGTTTGAGGAAGGATATTAGAGTAGAGCACAGAAGCTGGGTATTTTATAGCACTTTAAAAGAGGGCCATGGCACATACTGGTTAATCGGTTTTAGCCGTTATTATGCTGTGCTAATTGTACGGTGGTGCTGGGTGGCAGAGAGCTGTTTTGTTCAGGTTAGGCTTAGCTCTGCGTAGGCACTTATTGAATTCCACAGAAACCGAACAGTGCCTGTGCTTAGTAATCTTTGGGATTGTTTGGTGCCCTGTAGGTTAGAAATGTGATATGCTAATGCTCCGCTATTGCCACCGCAGCCTTGGCATCAGCAGAGGGACTGGCCAAAGCAGCGTAACGCATCGCTTGCCATCTCAACAAGAACTTAGCCTAGTCACAAGCTTCTTTCACGTGTAGTTTCTGCCATGTGTGTGCCAGGAGCTTCCTGATGAGAATTGGAAAGAGTCCCCGAAGCTGGAGTTTGTTCAGATTGTTCATGCGGTTGCTGGATGTGACTGACTAGAGTCTGTTTTAACTAAGATGTGCTCTGTTCAGCAAGTCATACCTCTACTAAATCAGTCAGTTATTGAAGGTTCATCTGCAAAAATGTAGATGCTACGTGCTAACACCTTTGGAGACACTTCAGTGAAACTGGATCTAAAGAACGAGATGAGGAGTCTTGCACTGATTTGTTATGAGTTCAGATAACCACAGGAGAGAAGATCATAGAATCATGGAACAGTTTAAGTTGGAAGGGACCATGGAGGTCATCTAGTCCAGCCCCCTGCAGTGAGCAGGGACATCTTCCACTAGATCAGGTTGCCCAGAGCCCCGTTCAACCTGACCTTGAATGTTTCCAGGGATGGGGTGTCTACCACCTCCCTGGGCAAACTGTTCCATGATGAATGCAAACTGGTCAAAGCTGTTATTTGCCTTCTGCTCTGCTCAAGATGACTTGGGCTTGTTTAATCTCTTTTCATTGTCACTGTGTGGGTGAAACTGTCTTTATTAGCTGCAGATATGTTTGGGAATGACAGTTAGTAGTTTAGGGGAGCAGCAAATACGATAGGTACTTTTTGTGTGTTTGCAGTTGATCTTTGGTGATAAGGCCCAGGTTTGAGTAAGGCTTCAGAGATCTCTAGTGAGATCCACACACCTTGGGACTCATGGACCGTCAGCTAGCCTACATCCTGGTAGGAGGGAACAAAAGCTTGTTCTCCTGCTCTTTGACAATCCTTGATCTCTTCAACCATAGTTTTAAAAGAGTCATGTCTATAATGGTCAAGTTTTCTCGTTTGTTGCTTATAAGGGATCAAGTTCTTTGAACACTTTTGTAATCAACAAACTCTTTCCCATTTGAATTTGTTGGGTCAATTTCTCCATGACAAGTTGTGGTAGTATGTTCTTTGTCCAAACAACAGGCTGACTATTGTAACAGCATGAAATACACGTCTTTGGATGAACATTCGCAACCGCCTACAGGCTCTTGATTCACTTAACCACATGTGCCTTAGAAGTGTTTTATTCATTTTCAGTCTCTGCCCATTTCTGTCTTTTTGTAAATGGACTTTGTGTATATCCCACATACGGTGAGGACTTCCTTAGTCAAATTCAGTAGCTTTCAAGTGAGCACAGATTTAGGCCTTTCCCTTCTTCTGCCTCAAATATCAAACCAATGTGTACCACTGTTAAATGGAGTTATTTATGCATATTGGTAAACATGGAGACTAAATTGGAAACTTTTGGCAGGTTCCATGTGATCTCATAGATGATATGCAAGAATAACTCCGTTTTTCTTTCAGAAAAGATTATGAATTGGATGATGTTTTCGTTACTACAGGAGATGTTTCATGCTATGGCAGGCTCTGGAAGTTGGTGAAGTTCTTAAGGGGAGCTTGAGGTGATGGAGTTTCTGTGCTTGTATAGATGAAATGATCAAACTTAAAACCTTTAGTAGCCCTTTAAAAAGGTATTTTTTCCTGAATTCTCTTCTCATTTTAACATAGTCTTAGAAGTTGAAATTTGCGTGTTGTATCCTTGGCCAGTGTAACAACTGTTGCAATAGCTTGAAACTGGTGTTGTAGGTGCTAAGTGTCTTATTCATGTCTCTGCTTAGACAAATTTCACTTGATGATGCAGCATTTCAACGCAGGGCAGGTCTGGAAATTTCTGAAATCAAGATTTATTCCTGAAAGTGCCGAAAACAGTTATTTGAGCAAATCTGGTAGGATTTACTTTAGCCCATAGAACATATACAAGTGAGGGAGTTGGGGAAGATTCTTTAACCAGCAAGTTCAACTAAAAAACTGCAATGACCTGACAAAGAGAGGAAAGTTAGGAAACGCACCTAGGTCTTAACTTTTCATCTAAACAACAGCTGTGCCAAGGCAAATATGTGCTCTTTGGCAGGGGAATAATGGCATATCCTTAAGTGTCCCAGCTAGAGATGGATTTTGTCTACTGGGGTTACTTCCTTATGAATCATCCTGATCAACCTTTGTGAATACCCAAATCAAGACTTTTTGTGGAAAGAAACAACCCTTTGTGTTTGGAACAGGTCCTTTGGAAGATACTGATTTGTATTTTCTAGGAATAGGATAAAGTGTGTTGCTACCTTCTCTGTCATCTTCTTCTGTGACCAAAGGCCATGGATAAACTTGCTGCAATTCAGGATTTTATGCTAATATTTCACTTCTATTGGTACTTTTTTTCGGAAAAGAAAATGATCTCAATTACCATAAAATATCTGATCCCCAAATCTGTAATAGTTGCTGACATAATGGTTCGTGTTTACAAAATACGAACAATTGGGTTCACCTCCTCAGGCTGTCCTTTGAGTTACTGTTAACAGTTTCATGTAACTGTTCTTTAATCAAGAAATTGAATTCTATAACATGAGTAGTAAGTTTTAACTACAAAAATGTAATGTTTCCTTTCATATTTTATCCAATTTACACTGATGGAATACGTCACTATTTTAAGTTTCAGTAATAATTTCAGTATAATTTTTTTCACATTAAATGTTACAGTTATGAAGATGTGTTTTCTCTAAAGGTGGTATTTGGTAGCACATGGAGCAAATATTGTGCTGATTACTTGGTGTGGGATGACTACTTTTCTTTACCTCTAAGTCTTCCAATAAATAGTGGTTTATGTTACATCTTTGCCTAATTGCACAATCTTTTATAGATTTTAATCGGCTTTTTTTTTTTTTGTCGTCTGTACATCTTACCTTTTTTTATCACTTGAAATCTTACCAGTTTTCATGCTGGTTTCCAGCTTCTCAAAGTTAATCTATAGAATTTATCTATAAGCATGATGCTATTTTTTTCTTTTTCTCTGATCTAATACAAATAGGGCTTTGCATCTCTTGATTTCTAGTATTTTGGAGTACAGTAATACCACTTCCATGCTTCAAGATTAGTATACGACGGCTCTCAAAATTAGATTTGGGAAGGAGAAGGGGATACTGCCCAGTACTGTGTAGCATCGTTGTAATGTCATTGTATAAATTACTCTGTGATTAAGTTGAGCGCTCCTGGATGGATAAGCACGTAATAATTTGACAGGAGCCCTCTGTATTTCTCTTGAAGATCATAACTCGTGGCAGTTTTGCCTACCGTGGGAAACTTTGTTGGAGATGGAGGCTGGAATGGCCGTATCTATTTGTGAAGGACAAGGGAGTGCTTTGGTTACCTTCAAAGACCCATTACGGGATATGATTGCTTGTGGGAGTGTCTGGTTATGATCTGTTAGAAAACAGCCTATTAATAAAACAGAGGCTCTTGTAATAGAGCACTTCTTAATCTTCTTCCTATGTAGTTATTTATAGGCTGTGACATCTTAATTTGCCTCTCGTGTGCATCAGCTTCTGTTATTTTAAAAGATCAAGTAGCTTTCACATGCCTCTGAGAATCACTCCTGGAGGAAACAGTCTGTTTTCTAAGGAATCTTACAAAAAGGTTTCAAGTCATAAGTTTGTTGTAAAAAATGTGTTAAGGTTTTTACTTGTGTCTTTCTAAAGGACAAAATAGTTAAGGAATGTCCTATTATGTAGATATTTATATATTAATCCTGTGTTTGTCTGATTACAAGCAGATTTTCTTGGATCATCAAAGGATTTCCAGTTGCTGATAGTACTTATTTGCCCTTAGTGAGTGTGCAGTGACCCACCTGAAGCAATATTAAGTGCATGATTCTCTTTGTTCTTGTGGTCGTTTTCTTTATTAGAGTGGTCCTAGCGCCAGATCTTGTCACAAGATGTGCATTGACATTCAACGAAGGCAGATCTACACGCTGGGACGCTATCTGGATTCCTCCGTGAGGAACAGCAAATCTCTGAAAAGCGACTTCTATCGCTATGACATTGACACGAACACATGGATGTTACTGAGCGAAGACACTGCAGCAGACGGAGGTCCAAAGCTGGTGTTTGATCATCAGGTCAGCTACACTGATACTCTTGGTGCAAGTTTTCAATGTTTGCAAATCCATTTTGATCATAGCCTCCTGCCATGTAGAAGTGCTGGAACATCGCAGAGACGGGGAAGGCTGTGATCTGCACTCAATTAAATTCTAATAGTGTTGTTGTGTAATGCCACTAACTACTGGTATTCTAATCAAATCGAGTCAGAAGAATCATAAAGACCATTGCAAATTAATTCATTTTATTAAGACATGTTTTATTAAAGCTGAGAGCACAGTTCATCTGTTTTTAATCAGGCTTGTTGAGCTGGGTTTACAGATCTGCCTACTCGGAGGGCGTTGGGGAACAACTTGCAAAGCTCTGTATGGTACCTTCAGAAGAACACGATAAGCCAGCCACTGAAATGAGGCAAACGGGATCAGGATTCTTTCAAAATTGGTTATCTTTTAAAATTTATAGAATGTGCTTACCTTGTAGAGATGGAAACACGTTGGAGGAGTGGCTACTGATCTTTTAAAAAGCCACACCTCTCCACATATTCAGACCACATACTTATTTACTTGTGTGTTTAATGGCTTTTGTGTATTTGAAAGAGGTATTTTGTTCTTAATTGATTTTTCTAAAGCTTGGCCAAGAAACAGCACATCAGTACTCATTTTTAAAGCAGCCCAAGATCTGCTTTTATTGGTACTAGCTGTTTTGTAACGAAAGCTGTTGTTTGCCAGCACAGTACGTGTTTCTGCTGACACCGAAAATTAGATACGTGTTGTCTGCAGAACAAAAGCCAATCAGTCTTTCTGTGCTATTAATAAGAAATACCAGTCTCCCAGGTGTTGGGGAAAAGGCAGAAGTAAATTGTCAGCTGGCAAGGCTACTCTGAGTACCTTGTTTGCCTGCTTCTGAAATTGTTTCTTTTTTCCCTTGCTGTCTCTTCGGAAAGAATGTCCTCCCTGAATTCTTTATCAATCTGCAGCTTTTTCTCTTCTCTCCCTCAGTATCTACTGCGATAGCAGGTTTTTATTTAACCTTCACAAAAATGTGCTGCACTAGAAGTGTTTTGTGTAGGTTTTGCTGAGTGGCATCTCTATCTTACTGTAATCTTATCTTGTTTCTTTTTTTTTTTTTTCCCCTCTGGTGTTTTGTAACTCTCTGGGTTGCACTGTGTCTGAAAACATCACCCGGAGTCAGGGAGTTTGGTTTGTACTGCCATGTAGCTCTTGTGCCATAACTAGAATTCAGGCTTTGGGGATAAATGTGTTTCTGCTGCAGTCTCATTAAAAAAAAAAATGAAAAAATCCTTGGCCAGGTTACAGGTCTACTTTATGATGAAATAATGGGGGTAACAGTAAATATATGCTTGGGAGGGAATCTGAGTAACGAATTGCAGACTGGTTTTGGATTGGTTCAGTGGCAGTCAGTGAATTTAACAGGGATTTTTAATTTTTCCCTTGCATAGCCATTGTAATATTCTGTTAATGTTCTGGTAGAATTGGCTACGGATCCTGGTGGTAGGCTCTAAAATGTCTAAAATCAGCAGCTAAAGGCAAGGTTTTTAGGTCGTGAAAGGTACATGTAGTTTTTTCTTCTTTTTGCTTATTAAATAGTAAGTTGAAATTAGACTCACTTTTAAAATAAAGGAACTGTTTTCTGAGGTTAATACTTGTCCACCATGAAGATATGTCTTCTTTTCTGTCCAGTAAAAGTTCAGGAGATGTGCAGAGCACTGTCTAACTTCCTGGGTATCACTTGCAGGGGAGGGATGTTTAATCTTAAATCATAGCGTGTTCAAGTCTTACTGTGCTGGCTTAAAACTACTTCTCTTGTTCTTATAGATGTGTATGGATTCTGAAAAACACATGATCTATACCTTTGGAGGCAGAATTCTGACCTGCAACGGCAGCGTTGATGACAGCAGAGCCAGTGAGCCGCAGTTCAGTGGATTGTTTGCTTTTGACTGCCAGTGTCAGACATGGAAACTTTTGAGAGAGGATTCCTGTAATGCTGGACCTGAGGATATCCAATCCCGAATAGGACACTGTATGTTGTTCCATTCTGTAAGTATCCACACCATCTTTTGATTCATGACGCCTGACTTTAAGGAGAACATCTGGTTTTGATTTTTTTCTTGCAAGTTTGAAGGTCTTTAATCTCCCAAGCGGTATGTTGCCTCACTTGATTTTATGTTTGGTGACATTCTGATGCTGCTTTGGTAAGTGCAGGTGGTATTAATTCAAGTCTTGGAGCTTTCATGACTTCAACTGAATGAAATTTCAAGTAGAAAGCAAGGTGAATTTTAAATAGTTAATTTTACTTGAATAATGGTAAATAGACCCAAAGACTATGGTTCAGTTTCATCTAAAGAGTTTTTCTTTTAAAGTTGGTAGAGCAATTTAGAAGCTTCTGATCTGGTAAATAGCCTGTGTGGTTACTGGAACAGTAAATTTGGCTAGTGCAGGGGCTTACTCAGTGTGTATTTGGATACACAGGCCTCATATTCCTCTGTGCTGAGCACCCAGCTGCTGCTTGTTGTCGTGAGCAGCTTTTAACAGCTGGGCACAGATGGCATTGTGGGCATGTCACCCAGAGCCTGATGGCAAGGCAGAGGGATGGGGGAAGAGGAGCCTGCGTAGCACTTTTAGTATTCACTATTAAAAAATAAATATAGAACTTCCAGTGCCTTTTCAGTTGTGCTCATCAACCACATGTTTGCTTAAGTGCAGAACATGGGAACTGCGTGGTGTTTTGCTGATATTAAACTCTGACTTGGGCATGAGGAGGAAGAGAATTAAAATTAATATTGTGGTGTTCAAGTGTGTACTGATACCACCAACTGAAAACTGACCAGCTTGAACAATGTAAAAAAAAATTCCCTTTCAAATGAAAGATTAGAATTTCTATGGGGAATATGGTGCTTTCAGAGCTTTTTATTTTTATTTGGATGGCTCTCTAAAATCTGGTCCAAAGCATATTGCCAGAGAAAATTCTGCACAGGTACCAAATTTTTCAAATATATATCCATGGTAAAGGTAAGAACACAGGTTTCTGTAAGCACAGGTCATGGAAGTTTAGGTCCTTTGCTGCCATTTGCAAGAAAAATAATCTGCTTCTTATGGACTTTCCACTTGGCAAACTTGAAAGAAATAATAAAACTGTTATTCTTGGCTTGCTGCTTGCCATTTGCCTGTTCTGAGTTTAGTAATGTGCTGGTACCTGGATGGTTTCTCTTGCAGTCTGTCTTTTGTTCCCTTTTCTTTTTATTTTGAATGGTTAGGTTATGATCTAACGGATTTTAGACATGGAGACTGTTAATTCTTTAATGTTAAACTTGAAAAATGAATTGTTGTTTTAATGTTCTGAACTTACAGCTTTGTCAGGCAGGGCTGCAGTAGTTAACTGCGTACAATCTGCCCAGTCACTCCGGAGCTGAAACTCTGTTGGATCCAAGTTTGTGGTCTCTCATAATCATGAAAAAGAAGTCTTTAAAATTGCATTTGTAAGAGGCTTTTTGGGGTGGAGAAGCTCTGAGCCCTTAATGGTTTAGCTCTTGAAACTGAGAAATCATGAATTCAAGAAGGTTAAGAATCCAATCAAGAATTCTTAGTTTTTATTGAGTTTGAGAATAATAAACTGTTCTGCGCAAATGTTTCCTGAGAATCTTTGCAGAGATGACAGTAAAAGATACTTACCAAAGTCAGACCGGCCGACCTGATAGTTAAGGCATGATTTTAAACTTAGGAAAAACCATTTCTCTTAGTCTTCGATTCATTAATGTTTCTGTTAATGATCGCAGTTGGCCAACATACTTTCTTGAGCTTTGTAACAACATCCTTTTTTTTTTTTTTTTCCATTCTAGAAAAATCGCTGCTTATATGTATTTGGTGGCCAGAGATCAAAGACTTACTTGAATGACTTCTTCAGTTATGATGTAGACAGCGATCACGTGGATATCATCTCAGACGGCACTAAGAAAGATTCAGGGATGGGTAAGAGTGCATATTAATTTTTTTCCCCTTGGCACAAATGAGAAATATATTGTTAAGTAGGTGAAAGGCGAGCGTCAGTGTCCTGTGGTATCAGGTTAGCATCCTTAACTAGCTCTGTGTACCCAAGTAAACTCCACAGTATATAGGTTAAACTTATGCCAGCTCTTTTATCCTTTGTGTCATTTGACACTCACCATCTTCAGCACAATACAAATAATTGATGCATGAAACCATATAGCACCTCAAAAGAAAAAAAAATCAGCAAAATAAGAACTAAAAATATCTTCTTTGAAACTCCAGCAAAGATGAAAAAAAAAAAAAAGTGAAAAAGTAATTTTCTTTAAACCAGGAAAGGAGAAAGCAATTTTTTTCCTAGTTTTCACCAAGTGAAAGATGCCATAAAATAGAAATTATCTGCTTGGTTTGAGATGCAGGAAGGCAAGTAGGATGCTCAGAGACAGAGAATTGGAGTAGAAGGACAGAGGTTATTTTGCCTGGCAGGAGCTGACTAGAAAGATGAGACCTGTTGTCTTGTTCTTGTACTAAATTATCAGGCAGCGGCAAAAAAAGGTAGGAGGAGGGAGCAAAACTTCATACTGCTGGAGTTCTGTATACCAGAAACATTAAAAACACCCAAAAAGCATTGTAACACAACCGTAAAGAACTGATTTTATGCCTCTTCTCCTCAAATGACTTAGAGAAGAATGAGGGTTTTTTTGTGGTTTTTTTTTTCTTTTTCAAAAAGGATTTCTCTGTGTATAAGCACATTGTTTTCCTGTGTTGCAAATATCCAGATTTTCAGCATACAGTTAAGATGTGGAAATTTGTGTTGCGGTGTGTTCTGCTATAGGAGAGAAGTTATGAATAATTCTCATATTCTGTATTTAGTCCTGAGCTTCTTTTCTTCCAGTTACCAAAATCCCAGGAAGCTAATTGATCTTGAATTTAGGCTGCCCTCCTTATTTTGATCAGGCTTAATTTTTAGCAAGTAATTTTGCTGAACTTTTGAAGTGAATTATTGATGGTTATGAGTTACTGTTTGCTCATTAATTTAGTTATGCCAATGAGGGGGATGAGTACCCAAGCTCTTATTCTCTGGAGCCATTTATTTACTTGACTGCTTACAAGCTGGTTCTTTCTTGGATTGTTGACAATCTCCTTTATTGAGGTGCCCGGATGTTGCCCGATGCTGCTCTACACCCACCCCCATGCACTGTTTGTTGTCCTTAGAGCTTTGAAATAATTTTTTTTTCTATGAATTTGCTAGTATTCTGCTATTTTGCTTTTTTAAAATTACTTTTCTTTACAGTCTGAAGCTTTCAAACATGTAGCTTTAAGCTGATACCTGTGTCTACTTCAGATTTAAAGAAAGATTTCAGATTTGCCTAAAGCTGGAGAAGACACTGAGCTCTGCTTCTTTCAGTTAAGCAAATGAGACTGGAATTTTTAGCCCTCCTCCCCATTCCCACAGGCCCCAAAGTGGTGAATAGTAGACTTTTTGTAAGAAAATGACTCATTGGAAATAATTCACGAGTAGATTTTCAGGTTACCGTTCTCCTGTGTGTAGAAAGTAAACAAACAGATTTGCACGTTTCCCTTGCTTTTGAAAGAAAAATGCTAGGATTATTTGCATTTTAACAGGACGAGAACAAAATACCTGTTACGTTCAGACAGCAAATGCTGACAGCACTATTTTCACCCAAACTCCCAAGTCTTTATTGTTAGGTAGTGATACACCATTTTGATCTGCATGAACAAAGTGATTCCCTGACTAGTCGCTGTGAAGTTTTAAGCTGCTCGGTGTGATGAGTCAAGTTGAGGATGCCTGACCTAAATGTTCCTATAAAGTCCCATGATTACATTTTGTTCCTGGCTCACATGTGGCATTCAGTTCTATTCTTAGTCGAGCTATTTTGATTTTTGCCCTTTGTAAAAGAACTTAATTGTGCATTTGTCGAAAATTTCCGTTAGCGTAGCAAAAAGATTTTTTTTACAATGTAGTAAAACAGATAATTAAGGATTATCAGTAATACGAAGTTGTTGCTATGCTAGAAAACTATGGTAATGATATGTTGTTTTTGCTGCTCTCATCTTCTGGATGAGATATTTATGCTGTTTGGTGTTTTTTTACTCTCAGTTGTGCCTTCGATGTTGATCCTGGAACCTGTTCCTTGTATAGGTGATGTGTCTGAGAATTTTGGGTGATTAAGTATCACTTAAATTTACATAATTTGGAGTAAAGAACACTAATTTTAGCAAGTTTAGATGTGCTTTTTTTCATTCCTGAGGAAAGTTCAAATTTGATCGAAGTCCAGTTTCTAAAAGATGGGTTTGCACACAGCTTTGCCTGTCTCCTGACTTGGTCTTCGAAACTTAGGCAAGCCTGGGAGCTCTTTGTGTCTGACATGGGTGCTTTCTTCAGCTCATTGCATCGAAAAACCTTCTGAGTTCCCTTTGCTGTCAAAGGAGGGCACTACAGTAACATCAGGCCATTTGGGGTGGTTGACTTTCTGCTGTGTGATAACTGTTAGGAGCAGGAAATTTGTGAGTGCAGCTAGAGAATGGACGAAATGGGACTGAGGAACAGAGAATGCAACTTTGGTAATGAGTTGGGCGTGAAGAAAAGGCAGCAGTGGTACAAACTGGAGCAATAGGAATTGTAGTACAGTTGAATAGAGCCTGTGGTTGGAGGAGAGGCAGAAATGTGTATATTGAGGAACACAGAGCACTGTTCTTTTAATTACTTAACACACAAACAACAGAAAAAAACCCAACCCTAAACCCAAGATGCATGTGCCAGAGCGTATCTCTGAAGCGTACACGTGGTGTAGAGGTTCCATCAGTATCAGATGTCTTCACAAGGCTCTGCTGACAGCTTGCCTGACTTGCTTAGCGCACAATCCATGACTAATCAAGGGCACTCGTTTCAGGTCTAAGGGAGCTAATGGGAACACTTGTGGTCAAGGTTCCTGTGATAATCCTGTTTGGCCCTGACTCAGGTGGTGTGTCAGAGCTGTTGGTCAGAGGGAGAGTTTCCTTCGGCAGGAGAATCAAGATCATCTTATATCCCTTTGAACCAAGTAACTTCCAAAGTTAAGCGAGCACAAGGCTTAAACATTCCTGTGGTTCATTTGAACGGTGCAGTAGTTCTTAGGGACATCCTGCAAAGATTTTTGTCGCCACCCGTGAAGTTCGCAGGTCTCTTGCTGGGGCAGATGCTCATTCCAGAACCGTGCACCTGACAGACAGGAGGTTTCATGGATAAGTACCACGGACAGAGGCGGCACAGCCCAGTCCAGGGAATCCTGAGTGAAAACAAGATGAAATCAGAAAAACATTAATCAAAATAGATATCACAGCTAGCTCAACATGGCCAGCATCCAACTCAGCCAAGCAGCCCGAATACCCCATTTTGATGGTCTGTCTCTGACCCCTGACGTGTTTTGCCCTTGTTCAGTTTAAGGTCTACCTTGCCAGTGGCCAGCGTGTCTCCTGCCATGGAAGCACTTTGTTTTGTGAGGGACCTTATGTGCTCCTCATCGTGTGAGGTGCTTCTCTGAACCAGTCTCAAAACGCTTTCCTCTGACCGTGAAGCTGAGGAGAGCAGGCAGTCACCAAATCCTAAGGAAGCTTTACAGAGATGGCAGAGCAGCTGAATTCCATTCACATTTACTAACTGACCTGTTTTTTCCAAAATCTCATGTTGCTTGGGAGAGAACTGAGCATTGGGTTGTTGCTTTTTCGACATGACAACCAAACTGTTCGAATGGTTTCCTTAGCTGCTCCTTGGCTGACTGCCAAATGCAGTCTCATCGTGAAAAATCCAAGAGGATAATGATTATCTTGCTGTGTCAACAGCTGGCCTGTACGCGAGCTCTATCACTCATCAAGGGGCTGCTCTACTGAAGTGCAGGGGAGGTGCTGCTTCGGTTTTCCATGGATTACAAGCAGCAGTATGGAGTAATTTGCTGACCTACCACTTCTTTAAAATCAGTCTGTCAGGGTGCTGCCAGGTTCTGGTGAACAGCAATGTCCATGTGATGTAGCTTACTCCTATTTTTTAGTCACGAGGCATCACAAGGAGGGAGGATACTTGCAAGTCACTTGTAGTGGGATTAGCAGTAACGTGTCCCGAGGGTTTCGTAACTTAGGTGGCACTAAAAGGCTGTCAACGAACTTGCTTCCTTTAATTATCCTTCATGAATCCTTCAGAAGTGGTCTGTAGACTACAAGTTTTAAATCATTGTTTTGCCGGTGCTGGGTTGCAAAGCATGTTTAAAAACATGCTATAGTATCCCTTCAGATGTCAGAGGTGAGATTTAATTTCCAAACTTCTGTCTAGTACTACGAGAACCACATCTGTGAACTCCAATTTACTGCTTTGCAAACTCTCCCTCTGCATAAAAGCTGTTTTCTTACTTAGGTGCTGGCAGCAGCCAACACTGTAGCTGCTTGCACATGGAAGAGACAAAATATTCAGCTTGCTGCAATGATCACTGTGATCAAATAAATGCCTGTAAGTAGGGACTGTGGTAGTGGGAACATAGTTGTTTCACGATTAGGTGTCGCTTTTCTACAAAGCCTTTTCCCGTGCGTTATATTTAAATGGAAATTATGTTGTACAGGGTTACACAGCGTCTTATCGAAGCTTTCTCAGGAATTACGACTTGTTTATGTAACAGGCTGCTAACTCAAGGCCTGTGTGGCTGAATATTGTTTTCAAATCTTGAGGCCATGAGCTTTTCATTTTTGCTCTATAAAAATAAATAAAAATTTTAAGTTCTGGAGAAAGGATTCAGACTTCTTATTTTCAATTAGTTATTGCCCTTCTACCCTGGACTGATTAATGAGATGATGCAGAAAAAAACTCAGTGGCACAAGAAAACCATTCACCATCTACTAGACTTTTTGGGATTGTATTGTGTTTAGTAATGTCTCTGTACAGCTTTTCCTCTTCAATCAGTAATGTATTGTCACAGGAGCCAAGTTAGTATTGCATAGCGACAGGCCAGGGCTGTGTTCAAAACAACCAGGGCTAAGTCCTCAGTCGCTGCTTTGTCCTTCGAGCTGTCTGCCCACAGCTGACCCGAGCGATCGCCGGACCTGAGAGGCACTCTGAATGGTGTGGAATCGCTGGAGATTTGCTCCAAAGCTGATTTACATCTACATTTATTCGAAGAAGCGGAAGAAAAGGAACTTCCACGGAGCCATTCTTACCACTTTATGTACCCCTTGGATCCAGTGGTTTGCAAATAATAGTTCTTGCAGTGCACTGACATTACTGTGTCCGATTCTCACGTTTTGTTGTTTATGACTTTTTACTCTGAATCTTAAAATTTAAAAAAAAAAATCCTAAGCAGTTACTGTCACAGGCTCAATTTTTTCTCCCAGGCAGAATTAAATTGCCTTCCCAACATACATTTTATTAGCTAAATATCACAAATACTTTTCGACTTGCACAAGTTTACACCCATGTCCCCCTCTAATACGCTGACCACAATCATTTGAATTATATCCAGCGTTTACTGCAAGCCCGCTGCACTGGCGGATGATGAATCTCTCTTACCCCCTAGTGGAAGCATTTGACAGTCATGAGGATTTTATGTTGGCCTTTTGCTCTGCCAAGGATCACAGTTCCTTTCTAAGCATCTTTTTTGATGTTTCTGTTGTGTTTAAGATATCACAGCATCTCCCTCTGACTGTGTAGTAGCTTGCCTTCTTTTCTATTTCTTTTCAAGGATTTGTTAACCCAATTTCTGTTGTCTTGGGGTTTTTTAAATTGTATTATATCTAACTTTCTAGTTCAATCTTCCTTTGCAAAAGACTAGATGTCAACTTTATCTAGCCTAAGGCACTACTTAAATATCACTTCTACACAGCTGCTTAGATAGGTCAGACTGGTTATTTGAGTTGCTCCTTGTCTTAGGCCCCTTTTAAATGTAGGGATATATATTTTCGGATATATTATTCTAGGCATTCTGCATTTCAGACAGTCTCAAGAAGCAATTGATGTGTAACTAAAGGAAGCCTGAAATGGTTTGAATTTGGTTTTGATCGAGATGCTGCGGATAAATCCCATTCTTACTATAAAGAGTAAAAAAAAAAAAAAAAAAAAAATGAGGCACTGAACTTTGGTGGCTTTTCCCTCCTGCATTATTTGAATAATAATTTCAGCTTCAGAAAATCGAGCATAGACTAGATACAAAATTCCTTTATTTAACAACATTTCAGGAGGAGGGATGGGACTTCCATAGACGAGCTTCATACGCTTTTGGTATCAGTGGTAATATAGCAACCGTATTCCTCATGATTATAATAATTTTCATTTCAATGAGCCTGAGGTATTAATGCTCTGAAGATTTGCATGCTTTTTTCTAAAAACCCGGCATAGTCTTGAGTGTTCAAAGCAGCAGATAGGGTTGCAAAGACATTTTCCGTGTACATTAGCATTGCTGATCAAATTTAGATGGCTCTCCTGCCAGAAATGTCTCAAAAATACGCCTTGAATTGAATCCTTTTGGGTCAATGATTCAGTCCCTGACTATGCAAGCAAACACATTACGTGATACTTTTCAAAAATTAATGATATTTCGTCTCTAATTGTCTTTTTGTTCTCAATTTCTTTATTGGGTGACTTTCACAGTACTCATTAGTCTTATTTAAAAACTTCCTTGTGGTTTGCAGCTAAGACAAGGTATGTAGTTGTTGTTGTGCCAGCATTGTTCCCTGCTTTTTTTTTTCCCCCCCTCTGCTTTGCCACCATTTCCTTATAAACTGGATTAATTTTCCTTTGAAACTTTGCGGCAAAGTTTGAGGTCAAAATAGGCAGGTTTATGCTGCTAAGGGCTCCAACAGATCTGCCTCTTGCTTTTCCGTAAAACCGTAAACAAAGATTTTGTTGACAGGACTCTGAGAATTAATTATCTGAATATATTCCGGTTTCTACTTAAGTTTATGTAAGAATTAAGCATTTATTATTTTTTCAGGAAATGCTTGGTTTTTTTGGCTTTGCTAAACATTTTGGTAGAGGCTTGAACTGCAGAAAACCAAATGCTGCTCAGAGTTTTTTTAATTTGTATTTATTACTTTCCTGGCGAACCAAATGAGAAGACTGAAGTAAGAGACTGAAACCTATTACAGCTTGGGCTTGCAAAATACCGTTTTGTGTGTTCTTAAACAGCAATATTAAATGGTTTATTAGTGTAGGGCTTGTTTTCTAGGCTGTCTGTGCAGTTCACAGTTAATTGCAGGGAAGAATTCGCAAAATACAAGAGTTCTGAGAATTTTTTCGTGCCAAAATCTTGATCGAAGGCCAGGAACCTTTACCAGCCTTTGTAAATTGACCCAGAAAGAGAAATGAGACAAACAGGATCTGTAAACAAAGATCACGTGCTCTTCACAAATACATTTTGGAAGGATGGTTGCCTAGGGAAACAGGAAATGGGGAATTATACAACAAACAAAAAGGACTGCCAAACAAATTTGCTGACCTTTTTTTCGGGGAATTATGATGAAAACTGCTGGAATCCTCAGTATTTCACCATGTTTCTAGATCTGAAGGTGAAACAAAAGACTAGTTGGGTGATTATACAACTATTTATAAAATACAAGAAGCTTCCTTGACATCTTTGTCCTAAAGGAAGCAATGCAAGGTTGTGAGCTATGTAATCTTGAGTTCATCTTGAATTTTTTTTTTTTTTTTTGGAGTTTCCTAGCTTTTGCAATTAAGTTTTCTGGAATCAGTCCTTGCTTTTACGGGTGAGAGAATAACAAAGTCACTCCATTCATATCTACAAGGATCATCTAGCTCTGTTTTGAGGCAGTTTAATCCTCGTTTCTGAGCTGGTTGAGGCAGTTTAATCCTCGTTTCTGAGCTGGTAGTCTCTCAAATAGCTCTGCCCATGCCTTTCCCTAGGAAACAGCAGCTCTCAATGGTTTTTGTGCTTTCCAAGAGTTGCAAATGGGAAGGGAATTGGAGAATTTGTATTGGACTTGTCCTTAGCAGGGAAGGAGTCAGCCTCTGGGTGATGTTTCTTCTTCTTCCTCCCTTTCATCCTGCTTTGGAGGGCATGTGGAAGAAGCAAATTGTTTGCTTAGCAACTTCTGCACGCCTGTTTTGAGATCTACCATTTCAGTTTTAAGTTGTGGTGAATTATGAGATTGCTGTGGGGGAGAGATCGTAAAAAAAAATACCAGCTTGGGGTCACTGAGTCTGTTGGGTTTGGTTTTATATGAAAGACAAAGAGGTGAAAGTAATTAAAACGAAAATTGGGAAACTCGGTAGTGAGGTTAAACTTCAGATGTTCTTTATCCCAGAACAGTGAAGAGGTGGTTATGTGAAATCTCATGCTTGTACTATGGCTATTAGAAAATCTACTGAATCACAGGGGGAGGAATGTTGGATCCCTTCCTATATCCTGTGGTTTTTTTAGTGTGTAACTTTTTTTTTTTTTTGGCAGTTCCAATGACAGGTTTCACTCAAAGGGCTACCATTGATCCAGAACTGAATGAAATCCATGTCTTGTCAGGGCTCAGTAAAGACAAGGAGAAGCGGGAAGAGAATGTAAGGAATTCCTTCTGGATTTATGACATTGTGAGGAACAGCTGGTAAGTTGATGAAAGGGGTGCTATTTCTGGCATCTACACTGACTTTCTTTAGAAAGCAATCTCAGCCGATCCTGTCTCCCAGGTAACTCTGTAACCTCTTATAACCATGGAATGGCAACGCTGAAGACAACTGAGTTCCCTTGAGGCCCCTCTTTTTCCCCTGTAGTCTTTAGAGACACCATGGCAATAAGCCAAATGAGGGAGTGAAATCATGTGAAATCATATTGGAGGCAGGTGGATGGCATGAGGGGAAGTAAACCATTGTAAGAATTTTTTCCTGTAGGAAATTATTAAGGCCAGGATTCATCACCAGTGCAGCAAATTCAGTCAAATGTTAAATTGTAAATTGCAGTGTACGTGTTATTAGTTATTAGAAACTAAGGAGAGACTGGTCTGCTATGTGAACGGTGTTGGAGAAGTCTTCAATCTAGATCTGTCAGCTCTTTCCAGGCTGCGCACAGTGGTCCTTCATGTAGCTGCTAGAGCCACTATGCTGAGAAAATATCTCCTTGTCTATTTGCCGTCTGGTGTTTGGTGGTTGGTTGTCACTGCCCCTTTCCAGAGCTGGCAGCATTTTTGTGATCAAAGTATCTTCTAATGTGGCACCTATCACTTCAAAGGGTGTGAATGCCAGTTTTTAAAAATGAGGTTTCAGTTGGAGTCTGCTTGGAAATCAAATTGAAACACTAGCTTTGCTGAAGTTTCTGTCCTAAAGTTCTACTGTGTCCAAGATGGTATTCTCCATAATGAAAAATACTTCATACTGACAAATCTGCTACTGAATAATGCGACATCTAAAGATACTGTCAAAGCTCATGACATAAAATTATACATTTTCTAGAAGTTTTTTCTAGTTTGACTTGTGATTGAGGACAGCGTTCAGCCAAGATGACCTTCTCTGCCTGTTGAATGGGTTTCTTTGTGGAGCTATGACTGGGGATGGGATAATAGAGGGCAATATATAGAGAAGTAAGAAAATGTTTGGTCTATTCCAAACAGTTCAAATTGCAATCATTGGTACCTTTTAGTAACTTTTTCTACTTCCTTTAGGTACTACTAGTCATTACTTACTGCCTTCTATTTCAGGTCTTGTGTCTATAAGAATGACCAAGCAGCAAAAGAGAATCCAGGTAAAAGCCTTCAGGAAGAGGAACCCTGCCCAAGGTTTGCCCATCAACTGGTGTACGATGAGTTACACAAGGTATGAGGGTCTAGAGACATAGATATTTTTTTTTTACACTTATTGCTCTTATGGGGTAGTTGCTTCTTCAAAGATGGTAACAATGAATATATCTTTTTGTACAGTGTTAATGTGGTGAGTAACTTCCATCTAACTTATTATCATCTTTTGAAATAAGGTGCTAAGCTACTTTTTTTGTCAATGTGAAGTAGACATGATAGCTCCTACATGAAATCAAAATGCAGACAATGGCATATACTAAACCTCTACAAAGTTGTCAAGCGGCTATTCTTGTACTTGAGCACACTTGAAGCTTCATTCATTGTCCTCAAAGACTTAATCTCGCAACCTGTTAGTGACTGTGGAGTCATTTCTTTAGTTTAGCTGCCACATTCATGCCTCTAAATGGTGATAGTTACGAGCATTTCTATGAGAAGATGTGTTTGAATGAACTGTTAAGAATATACTCTAATAGAGGTGCCTTATTTTGCCCTGCAGGTCAGAAGCAACTATCATTCTTTAGCACTATCTGACTTTAATGGACATGTTTCATGCTTAAATAAACTTAAAATTGTCTATAGTGTATGAGAATGCTCAGTGAACTTAGGGCTTTGTGCACATTAAGGTCCTTTCCAACCCAAACCATTCTATGATATTAACCAGTAACGCACAAACCAAAGATTAGATTACCGTAACTTTATTCACCTGTGATTTTTAAATCACTGTGACACATTTACTTAACCTTTCATGGATATTATGCAATTAAAATAAACTTTTTCTAAAATTTCTTTTTAGTCTGAAACAGTCTGAGCTGAAAAAGACAAATATACCTTAGTCTTATCGTTCCCTGGGATGTTAATCAAATTTGAGAAACCCAACGAGCTGAAAAGTTTGGGGACAAGGGGGATTTTAAGAAGGAATAAGTGCAACTTCTGTTTGGAGAGCTTGCATTGTTTGTCATCTTCACGGACATTTATGATGCACAGTTAATACTATTCTACCTCTACTGGCTTACTTCTAGGTGTAAGGTACCTGGAGATTGAGAGTAGCATTTTGTAAGTTATTATGAAGGTTAGATAAATCGTGGCAGTTGCCCAGCTTTATCTGAAGAGCTGTTTGATGTGCTTGTTTTGAAGAGTCTTATTTTTAGAAACCTCTGTTCAAATGACCTTTCTAAACTCTTCTGATATAATAATGAGAGCCTACACCAGTGGGATGCAGAATACATTGTTTTGAGTGATTATTTTTAAAGCTCTGAAGAAAGGTAGCCTGTTGGACTTCTTGAACCTCAGTATTTGAAGACCCTTTGTGGCGTGTTTAATATCAACAGTTCCAAGTCCGAAATGCCAAATGCTATGAAGAAAAAAAAAAAGTGAAGAAATAAACAGTCCTTTTTTAACATTTCCACTTTTCTTGAGATTTGCCTCTCTCTGTAAATCTAGCCTTGCATTTCAAAGGTGTTTTATGCTGAAATTATCAGAATGGCTGTTAAAGACTATGTCGTTTGGGCTGCCTTGAACAAAAAAAAAATCATTTTGCATAGAGGTATATTTAATATTTTTATGATTAGTCTACAGACTTAATTTTTTCTGAGTCTTCCTTACAAGTATAAATATATCTTCTTCAGAAAAAATATGTGATTGCTGGAGCCACTTCACAATTAGATGGGTGTAAACTGCTCCCCCCAAATTAGAGAAGGGTTTAATGCAAATGCCTTAATTTAGCCTCTCTCATGACAACAAGAATTTGTAATCTTTGAGGACAAGATTGGAGAAGGGTTTTGTAATCCATCAGTTTGAGTATAGTTTCCATCAAGTATTTTAAACAAGGCAGCAAGTGTTGGCTCAGATCCTTCTTTTCTGCTCGTGTCTTAGGTGCTTAAGGATTTATCATGCTCCGAGGTTTTTCCTAAAGAAAAAGATAACATAGTTTGTGGATGTTTGTTTATAAATATCTCAGCAATCTGCTAGGGGGAGGTTCTAACAATGCAGCTTTTTTATTGTCTTAAAATATAAGCAAAGTAAGGCTGATAATAAGGTGGAGGAGCAGCTTGTCTAAAAGGCAGAGTTTTCTCCCTCCAGAATAAACCTCTCTAAAGATGCTGACATGGTAAATAGTCTTTGTTTAATGGATGTACACAAACAGTCAACTTTTTGATCTGCCTCTCATTTGCTTAGGTCCATTACTTATTTGGAGGGAATCCTGGTAAGTCCTGCTCTCCAAAGATGAGATTAGATGATTTCTGGTCTCTCAAGCTCTGTCGACCTTCAAAGGAATACCTGCTAAGACACTGCAAATACCTCATAAGAAAGCACAGGTAGAGAAACAAAGAGATGTTTTTCAATTTGCCTTTCCAAAGTGTCTGTCTCTTTTTTTTTTTTTTTAAGTTGCTAAAACTTCAGTATTTTGTAAACTGTTTGGGAAATGTTGCTTTGTTGGTTATAGGTTTATTATTAAAGTAATTTTTAAAAAATAATCAAAAGCAGTGGGACAGGGCTAAACTACAAAATTAACTTAATTCTGGTTTTACTAGGATATTCTAAAACTAGAAAAATCTGGCTATTTTTTAAGGAGTCGTGGGGAATTTTTAGATTCACTTTTCACTCTGCTGTTCATCAACATGTGTTTTGGTACTGTCACCACCCAAGGAAATGAAGTATGTTTCTGAAACACTGTGCTAGGACATAGTAACAGCTCTCAAGAATGCTAATGAAGTCTGGGGGCTGGATTCCTTTGCACATCTCAGACTCAACCATAGTGAGGTCATCAGAGTTTCTCATTCAGAATCACTTGAAAGATCTCACTTCTGCAGAATTCAGCTACGCTGTGATGCTTCTTGCATTCTGGATGTTTCAGAGGTGCCTTATATTTGCTATTTAGGGGAACAGCTTTTCAAAATCAAACGTATGGAGTTGCCTTAGGCAAGAAATTGCAGCAGTAAGACAGTCTTGCAAGACTCAGCAAATTATTTGAAGCCAATAAATAGCTCTGCATCCTTAGTGAGAATACTTTGTTATCAGGTTCTTCCAAGAGCTGGAGGTCAGTTTTTACTGATGGTATTTTACTTCTGAGGCAGAAAGCAAATTGCTATGCTCAACTTGCAATCATTGTAGCCGGACGAGGCTTTTAGCAGATTAGCCACGTGATAGATGTAAATACCTACAGGAATGAATAAAGGTCTTGCCTAGTAATCTGGGAGGCTTATTAAACCCACATGTGGTTGTACACAAATACAGCTGTACAGCCTCTAGAGACAGCTCTGCATTGCTTCTTTTCACTTGCTTAAACTGAATTTAAAGGAAATGTTACTGCATGTTGTCTGGCAGATGTTTGGTGTTTATGCGCCATGTTCCCATTTATTTGGGTCCCTATAAAGGAGCAGAACAAGACCAGTTAGGGACTGGTGTGATGGGTGCTTTGTAGTAGTTTATATACTTCTCAGGGCTGGAGCTGAACTGCTGCAGAAGTTCAGGCTCTAGGTACCAGAACAGGTACTTGGCTTGTGTACACAGCAAATCCACGGCATCACCTGGAGTCCTCCCTGGCCTATTAATTTGTTTAGTACCAGTCAGTGTAGCACAGCCAAGCTGGCCAAGCACAGAAGAAGGTGTTGATGGTGCCACTTATTTAAGGTACTTCAGTTCTCTGGACCACGGCAGTATAATCTAAAAAAATCAGTGTGAGTGTTTGGAAAAAATCACATTTAATTACCAGAATGTCATTTATATCATTTAATAGTCTTTGGGCTTGGTGCACTGGCACCCAAATTGCATCTTTAAACAATTTCAAAATTTGGGCTACAGATGTCCACTACAGTATAAATAGCCAAGTAGATGACCCAAATAAAAAATAACAATATGATTAAATCTATTCAGTGTGACTTCTTTCACTTTGACAAGCTATACCCTGTTAAAGGTAACTGAAGTATATTATAAATAAAATAACTTGTGTTCCTTGTTCAGTAGGCAATTCAGTAACTGAGAACATGGTTTTCTGGGTTCTCATCTCTGGAATCCAGAATTGTCTGAGCTGTTTTCATGGGAAGGCTTAATACTGTGTATTGGTGAATCAGAAGATGACAAAGTGCGATACTGCGCTTTGGGGATAGCTGAGAGGGGAAAAAAAAAATAGATCATTTTAAACCTCATCCTTTCTAGGCTTATGCACCCAGCTCAGTGCTGCAGAAAAGTAGCTCTGCTCACTGGATGCGGAGCCCAGAATCATTTTCTGAGGGCTATTTTAGCTTATTCAGCTAAAATAATTAACAGAAGAATTTACAGAAATTACTGGTTTTGTTCGTTAAAAGAAAATGGGAAAATAATGGTGGTGGTGCACAGGATTTTTATGTACATGTGCTCTCACCAAAGGTGGGATATTGAGGCACAGTATTCATTGAATCTGGGGGTTTTCAGCCCCACTGTCCCTTTTTCTGTTGTCAGGCAGAAGCAGGGAGTATTCCCTGTCCTTGTACTTCCAGTTACACTTCTGGGAATGTGAATATCCCTGAGGCTGGAGTGCTTCAGGCTTGCTTGTATCTGAATTGTGCTACTCACTCCTTTTATTTCTGGAAAACAAACTGTACTAAATGTTTTATATTTATATATTAAGAAGCTGCTGTGCATATGCTTTTGAACATTTTTAGTAGGAGCGTAATACTTTGCCCTTGTAATTGCTGTACACCCCTAAAAAACACTCCTCTGTGTTTCAGTCTAGCTTGAAAGCGTGTACTCCAGCAAAAACGAGGCTGAGCTGCCATTAACATTGCTTTATTTCGGAATATTTGGCTGAAAGTTTTGTTTAATAGGCTTTGCCCTCTGTAGAAATAGTAGTGCTTATTCCTGAAGGAAATGGTTGTGCTCATGTTTCCTGTCTCTTCTTTCCAGGTTTGAAGAAAAAGCTCAGACTGACCCTCTTAGTGCACTGAAGTACCTGCAGAATGATTTGTATGTAACTGTGGATCACTCGGACCCCGAGGAGACAAAAGAGGTAGTGATGAATGATCTTTGTCTTACTTATAAAGAAATGTAAACTGTGTTCTCACGTGGAAGCTCTAGGCCTCTTAAATCTTGTTTTTATTCAGTTTGAAAAAACTCTACAGGTGCATGATGCTTTGCTACATCATCTATTTCTCTGCCCTAAAGATCACACTGCTTTAGAAGCAGTCATTTTACAACCACAGTTCCAGATAAAATAGCTTTTGTACTCAGAATCGTCAAGACTAGGCCTTTGTTTTAATTCCAGCATACTGGTGTCTATTTTGGGAGCTTTAATTGAAATGTAAACTCTCTGAAATGTCACGAGTCTGTAGTTGCCTGTGTGGTAGAAAGCAAATAGAAGGTCGTATTCACGGTGCCTTTTGGCTTGTCAATATTAAATAGCTCTGGGGGAGGGAAAAAGGTTTTTCTCTAGATAATAAGTATTTCTGAAAGTAGATTGTATATATACATTGCTTGCTAACCTTTAAACTCTTATTTCCTCTGCCTTTCCCATATTATCCAGTAGGCATGTTCTTTTATTTGTTCCAGGAATTTATTCCCATTTCCTGTTTTGATTTCATTACCGCAGTACGTGGCACTTTGCAAAAAGGATTAAAGAAATAGTGAAAAAATGTCAGATAAGGTGGTTAATTTGACTCTGCCATGAATTTCCACATGGAATGTGGGGCAGACAGCTGGATGTACAACCATCCAGCTCCTGACGGGTAGATGAGGAAGAGGAGGCCGTGGTTCTTAGGCTCTTTTTGTGTTAATGACTTTGGAAGTGATTCCACAACTCCTTTTATAAAACTGCAATAGGAGAATGGACGCTGTTATTCCATGCTGAGTCTCTGGATTAAATCACTTAATCTGTTGGTTTTAACTCATTGCTTTAGAGAAAGGAAAGGTTATTATACAGGCATGAAAAGCTTTTTTTTTTTTTTTTTTTTTGAGTGGAGAATATCCATCTTGTATATGCAGAGTATAGAATTGTAGGGCTATGAAAACTAAGAAAAAATATTTACTTATGTAAGGATCTTGGAACTCGTAATATTTGTCATAAATTCTGGTTAGCTTTTTATAAACATCTGGTCCAATAAAACATAAAGTGCTGTGCCTGTAAGTTCTCCGTTAGATGGCTTGTCACTGAAATTGTCCCATATCAACCACTTGCACTTCTTTTCCAGCTATTTCTAGCATAGGAAAGATAAGGGATAATCCTGCTTTTCTCCATCTGGAAAAAGAGGTATCTCACATGCAGCATGCTTCAAGGGGGCCCAGCCCAATTATGCCCAGTCTTCCCAGTGTGGTAACACTTTCCTCTTCCTATTTGAACCCGAAATAACCTAGAACATAAAACAACCATTCTGATGCTCTCTTCTCCCCTTTTTTCTCCCTTCCACCCCCTATGAGACCATGTCCTGTGTTCTTCTGTCCCCTTTTCTCCATGTCATACACGTGTGCTGGCAGTCCCATCATGCCTGTGAAGGTCCTATCTCTCTTTGGCCAGTTACTCCTAGAGAGATCTTGCATCTTGTGGCTGGCTGTGCCTTTTTTGATTCCCTGAACAGAAGACGTTTGTGGTGTGATCAGCAAGCTCCTCTCCTTTTAGTTCATGCTGATACTGTCACCAGCAGACCAAAGGAACTGCCATCAAGGCTGCACATTGTGCACATCTGGCACAGGAAATCCTTTAATAGTCTAAATTGGATTTTTTTCACAGTGCTGTGTGTAATACTTCAGCTTGTAAAAATGAAGAATTTACCTGACTTCATGAGCTCCTCTGAGATTTTGGGGAAAAGTAGTAGCTTTATCATACAAAGTAGAAATAGAATAAAATGTTAAAAAAAAAATAATCCCTTTTCATAGAGCATACGAGTGTTCTGCACATTAATGATCTGGCGTGTGGGTTTGGGTAGCTCAATCCAGCTGAGTGAATGTATTGTGAATCCTTTCTCTGCAGGCCTAATGCCTGACCCAAACAAAATTCAGTAGCTTCTGTCTGCCGTGCTGGTCTGTCGGATCAATGCATACCATCCAGCAGAATTAAAGCTTCCATTCGAGTGGTCTCCCAAAATCATGTAACAGTTTCTGGAAGGCTTTTTTGGTTGGGTTTTAGCGGGGTTTTTTTGTTTGTGGTTTTTTTTTTTTTGGTTGGTTGGTTGTTGTCTTTTTCTTTTTTTTTTTTTTAATTGTGCAGGTCAAAAAGCTTTAACTTCCAAAGGTTTTCACAGTGGAACAGATCTGCCAGATACATGGCGCAGAGCCAGCTACTGCGCTGGTACTGACTGGTTGTATTTCCAGTTGACGTCAATTTACCTTCCGGTTATCACATCGAGTTGGCTTTTTGCTCTGGCATTACATCTTCAAATAGCTCTTGTGCTTTCCAAAGGACTGACGCAGGCTTTTTTGGATTCCATCTCAAATTTCAAGCCCCAGTTTGATTGTGTGTATCTCAGCCCAGACACCTACCTACTCTGTCTTTATTTGTAGTTGAGATCGTCTTTAATTAATATCAAAGGCTATCTATCTGATCGGCGTGCTCTGTGCTGGCGACAGCCATTGAATGTTGTAAGGCTTCTTGGTGTGGCAAATCTTAAGGGAATCGGTTTTTGCCTGGTTTTTTCCCCTCTCCCTAGGGCAGCTGTTAAATTTGGGAAGGACCACGCTCAATAGGTTTATCCCCAGCTTTGTGCTCCAGTTTTCTTGGAGACTGGTCTATACGGTTTCATGTTTTATGGATTGAGAGATGGGTAGTGTTATATAATATCACAAGCAGAATTGCACTTGGCAGGTGAGGCTTACTTGCTTTATAATAGAAGTAATTTCTTCTAACTTAGTTAGGCAAGTCTCTTCAGCTGTTTGGAGTTGGATGCCAAAGAAAATAAACAGACTGTTCTCGAAACTTACTTTGGTTTTAGTAACCAATTTTGTTTAAAGTAGCGTGAATGATTGATAGTAGGAACATACCCACAGACTTTCATTCCTTTGTTGTGAATTTTAGGGATGTTAATAGGATTATAGTTTTATTCCCTTTTTTATTATTCTAAAGTGAAGTAGATGCCTGCAAGCAACAGGTATCGCCTGGGTGCTTGTTTTAGTAGCCACAGGCTATATGCCAGCTATGTCTCTGCTGTTGCCCACAGATGCAGATCCCGATCTCTTTAACTGTGATTCTGCTTGAAATCACTTAAACCTCTTCAGTTCAGTGTTTTCCGATCAGGGAATCTGTTTTTTCTGTCTGTGGATTAGGAGCTCTGACACTGTATATAAAGGAGGGTAGATCCCCTGAGCACGTTGAAGTGTGTCTGTGTATTCTAGTTCACCAAGAGATTAAAGTTGTATAAAAGACTGGCATTTGTTGGTGTAAAAATTTATGGTGGCGTGGGTGTTCTTCTATTTTGTACACACACCCAGATGTGCATTTGGTGGTAGTTTACAGCTGGAGGCTTTTAGAGGGAAAAGGTCGGTCAAAATAGAAAATCAACATGAATTCCAAGTTTTGTACTTATGTCAAGGAAAAAACAGGTGCACAAAACATCAGTGGATCATGTGCAAGGCTGAAAGTGTGGTTCCATGAACACTGGACTAATCGTACCCAGAACTTTGCTGCTGCTTAGTCAGCTATAGAAGAAATCAAGATAATACAAAAAAATGGCCAGTGCTGTCCGAGTGAAGGAGAGGAAGATGATTTTGTATGTTGAGGTTCAACTACTGGTGAAGCTCAATCCCATGATTGCTGTAAAACAGATACAAAGTGCAAGTAAAACTTGCAGTATGTTTTTCTTGGAGCAGGGGAGGAGAAAGAGCAAGGACCTGGAGGCCAATTTGAGGTCTGACGAGCTTGTAGACAGAGGCTGGAGGCCCCTGTTTAAGGCTGCTTCATACTTTCCATTCTTTAGACCTTGTCTTCAATAAATTTGCCAGATAAAGCCAGCGGGGCCCAAAAAGTATTGTTTGAGTCTGCATTAGGCTGATATTTCTGGGAAAATTGAAGCCCAAATGGGAAAAATAGTTCTAGGAAGGAGCTAAGAAAAGCATGCTTCTCTTCTTTGTGTCCTGCTGTGATTCTTCGTAAAGACTCAGAGTCTTGAGTGCTGCAGGAGCAGAGGCTTTGGAGCCAAGGAGCCTTTACAAAAACAGCATTCAGCCTTCCCAACTTCAGCTAGCGATGGCTCTGTCCTCAAAGAATTTGAGCCTCTCGTTGCTTCTTTGAGCCTATGCTATGAGGCACCACCCCAACAGACCTGGTCAAAGCTGAGAAACTGTTTTACACAGTGATCAGAGCACTCACCGTACAGACATGACAGAGGAGGAGTTATGTCTGATTCATACAACCTGTCGGGTATCCTGAACAGGAGTTACTCATTCCCCATCAGCATTAACCGTTTTGTTTGCGCAAACGGCAGAGGAGAGGAACAAATATACTAAAACTTGCATGGGCTGGCACACAGCAGAATTGCTTTTTTTGCTTTAGGTAGAAACCTAGATAAAATACACACAGCTGATGAAAGAACAATAATTTTGGAAATATGAAGGTCATAAGTTGCAAAGTGCCAGAATGAATCTTACACATGTAGTCTTAATTTGGCCTCTGTCTGAATGTAGCTGATTGATTATATTAGTGAAGCTTATATTAGTTAACCAGATATGTATAACTGATGCCAGATACATGTATAACTAATGCACCAGATGTATAACTAATAAAGCCTTATATTAGTTAACCAGATATATTTCTCTCTGATGAACTCCTGTCTCAGTTTAGTAGGTAGGTTGAATTTCCAACAGAGAATTTAATTGTATACCAAAGGGAACTGTTGTCTTTTGAATGGAGGCTTAATTTGGAGTGGATAAAGCCAATGAGGCAAAGGGATTGTCAGAAGAAAATGGGTGATGGTGTCCTTAGAGCAGTTGGGTGCTTCTGCTGGATAACTGAATTCTTGTCTGCTTTTGTAAGAGTTGCTATGTGATGTTTGCAAATTGGTTTTCCTAGTTGATCATTATTTGGGTTTTTCATGCTCTTCCCTGATGGGAGAGATCCGAGGTGTGATTTGCTGGAGGGCTTTGCTCTTTCGGCTCCAAGTGAGTTCAGAAGAAGCTGCGTAGTACTAAGTATTTTGAAAATTCTGGTAGTTTCAAATAGGAGACTCAAAATGAATCAGAATTTGACATGCTATGTGTTATGATAACAATTAATACGATAGAAAAATTGATAAAGAAATGAATTCCTTCTTCAGAGCAGAGTTTGAACTTCATGAAGAAAATACTGCATTGGATATATGCTGTGAATGGAGTGTAGGAGGCTTGGTCTTGAGTAAGCAGTAACTGGCCAGTGCTTTTGCAAAAAAGTAGGGGTCCTTTGGGAGAACATGGACTGTTAGCTGGCATTGTAATGCAAATGCCCAGGGAACAAGCTTAGGCTCGATGTGCTTGACTTTTCTATCAGAAAGTGCTTTTTGAAGGTGAGATGATACATAAAATGTAATTTGAAAACAACCACACAACAAACATCAGTGAGGAAGGAGAGAAGATACTTCTGCAAAAAGCTGGAAAGAAACTCGTAGCTGTGAAAGTCCATCATGCCTAGTGCAGATGAGGCCGGAATACTTGGCAGAAGGTCCTTTTAACGGATTTTTGGTCTCAGTTCAGCGAGTTACTAGCAGGATCCTGCTTATTTGATTTCTTAGTTGAGCATCCTGAGACCCAGCATCAGGCATGGCTTGCTTGCTGTTTCCAGCAGGACGGCTGCCGGCGTTGCTGGGGGAGGCGAGGGAACCCCTCGAAGCATGTGGCATCGGCTTTGTCCCGGCACAGCCAGCTTCATGTGCTACCAGGCAGCTGGCAGCAGGCCCGTAAGGCGATTGTGTGGAAGGGAAAGATGGCCAGGATGTGGCTTCTGCCATCAGGAGCAGCACAGATTTAGCCACCAGTTTTATTGGAACTTTTGGAGCTCTTTCTGCTGGGCATCTGTTTAAGTACGTTGCTGATTCAGAGCCAAGCAACTCTTAGGAGTTATGCTAGCAGTGAAATACACGTGTAGCATTGCAATTCCTTTTAATTTCATATAACCAGACCTCTCACTCAAGAGGGTACTTAATCAACCTCTTCCCCCTGTTCTGCAGTTCATCAGTCCTGTATCTTTCTGACCTGTCCTTAAATACCTCCAGTGCTCATGTCACATGATAGCCTCCCCAAAAGATGCAAACTCTTCCAGTGCACTCCAATCCTTATTTCACATAGTTCTTCAAGTCATGTTGAAACTAATCTTGCTGAAGTGTTTTTGTGGCTTCTTGCACTTAGTTGTAGATTTACCTTTTTTTTAGTGGCTGTAATTTTTTGCAGTTTCATCCTTGGACATTGTTCTTTGGAGGCTCTGCAGCTCTGACTCCTCTCAACTTTCTTTACAGAGCTTGATTTTCAGACCACTTGATCTTTTCTAGTGCTTTCCTCGTATGTTGCTGATTGATACAGGACATCCAAAAGCGGTTTTCTTATTGTAGATGAGACTTACGAACCTTGATAACAGCATGAGCACTTGATTTATTTGAAGATCCTACTCCTTTGCATGCATTCTCTATGCATTTGTTATTTTTGCAATAGGATGATACTGATCTGTTATAGCTCGTCAATGCATTTTCCCAGAGCTTATGCACCCCAGCCTGGTTTGTATAGGTGTTTATGTCTGTTTATGTTGATTTGCACTTGGCCCTAGTGAATTGCACCTTGATCCATCGTTAGAAGCTGGATGAAATGGAAAAACAGTCTGAAGGCTGTCTGTTACCATGCTGGCAGTCTGAGCGTGGTGTAAAGTCTGTGGATCCAGTTATCACTGAAAACCCAGAATGGTGCTTGACCTTGGGGCACAGATGAATCACTTCTGATTCATGGCTTGTTTTTGATGTCAAATCATTGATGGCTACCCACAGTAAAGTTATTTGGCCTATTGCTCTTCCCTATTAGCTTTATCTAGGTGATGCCTTAATAATTTGCCTTAAATATTAGATAGAAGCATCAGAAGTCCCATGAAACTCAAAATGGACAATGTCTGTTGCCAAATCCCATCCGTAGGGCCTGCTGCCTTGTTGTAGAAGAAATCAGATTGATGCGATACAACTTGTTGTTGCCAAATCCCCACTGGCTGCTACTCAGCACCTTCTCCACTCCCGGATGACTGCGAATTGTCTGCATTCCCATTTTTTTCTTGAAATCAAAATCAAATTGATGGATATGTAGTTCCTGACTGTTCTTCCCACCCCTTCCCTGAACATAGTTGTTTCTCTTCTGTTTTAACCTCACTTCTTTCCTTCGGGTTGTGTGCTGTAAAAACACAGACAGGAGACAAAAGATTACAAGCCTTTAAGAGGTCAGCGAATTCTTTAAGGAAACATGACACAGCACTGAGCTTTGCTACAACGTGGGTAACTGGAAACAGCAGCCAGGGGCAGAGGAAGATGCTGTGTTCACTATCTATCAATAAGACTTCAAGGGAGAATAAAACCATGAGTGTGTTACTTAAAATGGTTTTACTCATGATTTGGATGTTCCCAAGCAAACCAATTGTGTTTTTTTCTTTTTTTGTAAGTTAAAAAGACATTGCCTTAAACTTGTGAGATGAGCTTCTCTGGCATTTCAGAAATGTTGCCATTTAAAGCTTGCTCTGTGTTCAAGACGTTCATGCTGCACTGTAGCAGTAACTCAGTTTTCGTGCCATCTCATCCTTGCTCGCTGAGACTCTACCACGTTCATCCCTGGGAGTGTTGTTGTTGTGTGGAAGAGGTTCTACCCTACTTCTGCACTGTGATATCTGCCAGACAGGCAAAAAAAAAAGCATATATATATAAAAAATTAGGTTTTAAGGCTCCCAGTCAAGTACCTTTCATTGCATCAACGCTGCTCTAATTCTAGGAAAAACCATCCAACTTGCTCTGCCAAGGTGACAAATTGCATTGCTCATATGAAAGTGCCTGCTGCTGTTATTTGTACGTATGGCACAGTTCTAAGGATTGTGCAAAGAAAACCTGGCAACTCTAAATCTACTTAGACTTCTAGGAATCTTTTGGGTTTTTTCCTGTGCAGTTAATAACACTTTTTTCCTTTCTTTTCCCTCCACCTCCTCTTTTGCAGTTTCAGCTTCTTGCCTCAGCATTATTTAAGTCTGGCTCGGATTTCACCACTCTTGGTGAGTATTGTGTATCAGAAGAATTATACTAAGTGTGTTCCTTCCAATAATTACTGTTAGTTTCTGCTGGTTTTTATATCAAATGTTATAGTTCATATGAATGTTACAGGCCCTTTTCAGCTCGAATATGCGAAGTGTTACCATGTAGATATTTGAGAGATTATTTATAATGACCAGTATCCAATGCCTCGAGCCTATATCGAAAACATCTGTAACCAGTGGTTTTAAACCTATACCTCCTGAGATCTTTTTGTATCTCTTATTACATCTGATGCTTCACTGTTACCCAAATAAACAGGAGCTTTGCTCAGAGGAAAGCATCTCCTGTCATGTCACTTTGGAATCTCACAGCATGGCTACGGCTCTGTTTGCTGTGATAACTGCAATTCCTGGAGTAGTTTGGTTCGCTCTGTTCTTTGCAAAACTAGTTCTTTGGGCAGAATGTCAAGAGCGAAGAAAACAGTGGCGTGTAGGGCTGGAAACAGGAGGTCTGAGCCAAAGCTGTAATTGGTTTCACGATTCTGTCCAGTTAACTCTTTTAAACAGTGAGAGATTAATCCTGGGCAAGCTGTAGGAGGGCTATAGGCATAATTTACATTCTTGTAATGATGTGTTGTCCTCAAGTTACCGAGGTCACTGTAGGAGCATAGATGACTTCAGTTTTTGACAAATGCTTAATTCCCAATCTAAGGACCCGAGGGAAGGAAAAAGCCCCCTGCGCTATCAGCCGTGCTGGATGAGGAAGCTCTGCTGAGCTTGTGTGGTTTGGAAGATGTTATCTAGTTGATGCTGTAAAATTAATTTTTTAAAAGAAGAAACCCCAAGTTTCAGAAAGCTGTTTCCCCCCCCCTAGTTTTAAGTGTTCTAAGATGAATTAGTTCTTGATGCAATACAATACTTTATTCAGAGGCTGGCTTTTACAGATGGGAGGGTACATATATCAAGTCGTGCTTCTAAAATAAAACAAAAAAAACCCCAAGCCCTCCTTGATTTGATTAACTTGGTTGACTTTGATTAACTGAAGAGTGAGTTCACTGAATTAAAAAGCATTCCTTTGAGATACCAGTGATTGAAGTCATACAAAGCAGAGGAAATCGTTGTATACCCGCTCTATTGTTCTTGCTGTTGATGGTTTAAGTATGAGGATTTTGGATAAACAATGCTTCTGCTGTAGATTAAGCCCTCCCCTGTTGGGAGGCAGCACTTCACAAAACCAGTTTGCAAAGCACCCTTGTGCCAAGACGCAGCCTGGGTCCCCAGTACAACGATTCAGTAGCAGCTCTGACCTGGGACTCCTATCATCAGCAGAGCTTGTCTCAAGAAAAACTGCAAGTACCAGCTCTGGTTAAGACAGTAGCAAAAGTAATGAAGAAAGCCTGAGGACAGAAGAAATGAGGCACCAAATAAAAATAGCTACACAGATTTTTGTTTTCTGGGACATCAGAGTAGTCCCTTGAGGACTCTTGCTTCCCCCCCATTTCTTCAGGACTGTCAATGAGCTTGGCAGGCATTTGCTTATTACTTTTTATGGCATTTTGATTGCACTGTTGGCTCGAGGTGCCATGATCTCTGTGTGTTTGTGCACATAGTCGTGGGATGGAGAGCTGGCAGCCTTGTTAATTAGTTGAGGCAGAAGCAGCAAATAGTTAACATCTGTCCAAAATGGACAATTGGCATATTCCACAGCTAAACTGAGCATTTAAAGTACTGAGCACTGACTTGCTTTCCCTTTTTTCTTCCTCCCCCAGGATTTTCGGATGTTGACCACACGTACGCGCAGAGAACTCAGCTGTTTGATACACTAGTTAACTTCTTTCCGGACAACATGACCCCTCCAAAAGGCAACCTGGTAGACCTCATCACGCTGTAACGGAGCAATCACTGGACATGTGGAAGAGGGGGAAGAGCATCCATTTTCAGTATTTTAATTTTTTTACTGCATTGATTGACTGCTGGGATGAAGTAATATAGTAACCCCTACATGTTTGAAAGGGGTTTTATACTTGTATGGTGAATCCCTGAAGCTTTTCCCTTGGAGTAGGTTAATAAAATGTAACTGACGTACTTCCGACTAAATATATATATATTTTTTCTGACTTTGGATTTTGAGTTAGCAAATGTAAGATGAAAAGGTGGGGGGAAAGAAAAAAAAACATAAAACCCAATCATGCAGTGATCATTTCTGCCTGTAAGGGAAAGTTGAGATTTGTGGGTTGTCTGGAATTAAAGCTGATGGGGTTTATTTTGGGTTTCGTGAGAAAGGCGGGGGAGGTTGTTCTTTGCTCATTTGTTGCTAGTCATGATATATTGCTTTATCCTACAACTCCATCCTCAGCTGAATAACTTGGCGGCAGGACACTGGCATGCGTTGAGGTACTAGTAATGTACGTGTCTTGAGTCTTGTAATCGCCGTGTGTCATGTGAAGGGGAGCACGTGTTACAAATTATCTGTCTCCTCATCCCAGAACTGGGCTGACAGTAGTGTCTAATCGCATCTGATATCTGATCTATACCTAAATTCCTATCTTCCATTCTCTGGAGCCTTCCACTTCGACCAGACTGGGAAGTGAGAACCTCAGAGAAACTGCTGGAAAACACGAGTGCAGTCCTCGTCTGCACAGACCCCTTTTCTGTTTTCATTGCCGTGCTCATCCCACGAGAAACCGTGCGGGTCCTCGCAGAGCCTGGCAGAACTGGGTCTTCCACCACACGCACACACCAACCTCTGCAACCTGATTCCGGGTTGGGTTGTAGGATTTCCGAAGCGGCTTGTCTCCGTTTACATGCACCTCTGCTTCTGTGTGCGTTTGTCAATGTGTAAATGTAAAGAGGATTGCTCCAAACAGCTTGTCTCCTTCCTACTTAGCGCAGCTCATTCACTTCTAAACGGATTTTAGACTTAGATCTGAATGTGAGGGAGGCCTTTTTAGCATAAATCTCTTGGAAACAAGCTGATACATATGTATAGAAAATACATTCTTCCTCGCTGAAAGCCTTCTTTATAAAGAAGGTAAGGGCTTGGTGCTGCACTATGAAGTGGAATAAAGGATACGCGTACCCAGCATTAGAAACCACGCATTCGGTGTCCGTGAGCGTTCAGTGCAAACTGGCAGATGTAAATATTTATATGAGACTGCAAAGCTTTATGTCCAGAAATGTTCATGCCAGTAGGGTATCATTGCTGCACGACTCCTGTTGAACTTGATGGAAGTCTTGTGTGTGCGAAGATGATTTGGACTCTTGAAATAAAGAGTCAAGTGTCTCTTTCAGAGCTTGAGCGTCTGCTTGCTTTGATTGCATTGTATTGCCTCTTTATCATGTTCTTTGTGTGGCTTTTGTAGTCCTGGTATGTTAGAAATAAATTGAAAAACTCATACTAGTGTTTAATCACGTAGAAAGGAACAATACGTTAGAGGCTGGGCTTTGCTTTGTCTTCAGAGAGGACTATACAAATACCGTGTTTTGTCAGTAACCCGTAACTTGAGACTGTTAAGACATTGTATACTTCAGTGGATGGCAAATCAGATGTCTGTGGAAGAATCCACTCGGTACATAGTGCGGTAAATGAAATCTGATTAAATTGTTTCTTTGGAAACATTGCTTTTTTTTTTTTCCTCCAGTGACATGGAAAGTTTTGCGTCACTGCTAGGCTTTACGACGTGCTACCTTTGCTGATGGCTTTGTTAACTACTTCAAGTAGAGCTCAGGTGGTACAAATGTAGATACTGACAGTGCTCTACCAGGGGAATATTCTAGTTGAGGCGTTGTTTCCACAGAGATTGAACTGGGCACTTTTCATGCAACCAGCCAAAATGCTGCAGCCCTCTAGTTCTTAAAATTTTAGTGCTGTTGTGCTCCCTTGATCTCGTTGTCTGTGTATCCTCCAACTTCAGTCAGATGATTAATTGCTTTCTGTGACAGTTTTCTAACCAGCCAAGCACTTGGTGAACTTTTACCTGTACACCTTTGGCTACATGTGAGGCTGAACCCAAAAGATAAAACTGGACCGAGGAGCCCAGGCGAGCAGACAGTGGAAGCTGAGGAATGCCAAAAGCTTTGTGCTGAGCATTGCAACGTGTCAGCCTCCATTTGTGTTATAGAAATTCGATCAAAACTCGTTGTCCTCTGTGTCGGGAGTGCGTGCAAAGCCTGACAGCCTGGCTTAGGTTTTTTTGTAGCATAGCGTAAATGAATGATTTGTCTGAGCGAGGTGAACATTGCTTCTACAGGACTGACAATCCCAGCTGATGAGAGCACTTCAGGATGCTCAAATATTGACGTACCTTTATCCTGAGCAGATCGATTTCAGCTTGCACGAGTACAGTTTGTGGATTACAGCTGGTGATTAACTGGCAGAAACTTACTTGCTCAGCTTTGGAGTATTTGTGGAGCAGCAGAGGCACCCTGTGGCCGGAGAGGTTAATCCAAAGTGAAGGTTTCTTGTAGCTTTGCCAAGGCTCATTCCTGGTTCTGTGTCCTTAAAGCTAGGAGTCAAAATTAAACAATTTATTTGCATCGGTGTATGCTACACTACCTGATTTAAAAACTACTTAAAAATTCCGAACAGTGAAGTATAAATTTCCTTCCAAAATAAGCCGGTTATTGACAAGCAGTTACAGGGAGAGTTTGCATTTAATTACATGCAGATCTTTAAAGTTTACTGCTGATATTCCAGGAAAGCGTTAGATGCGAGCATTACAGAAACGCTGAAGTACAAACAGAAAAGAGACTCCCTTGATCTGAAAACAGCCACCTGAAAATGTTTCACAGCACAGTGCATGCCACGTTATAAATATACAAGCTGTACGTGAGAAGTCTCCAAACCTCACCCTTCTTGCTTGCAGGCTGTAGCAGAGATGGTTTTTTAGCCTAGGCAGGACAAACATACTGTATTTGCCTTTGCCTTATATTAGAAGGTGACTTTGTGTATGGATTTAACATCGCATAATCTTTGCACTACAGTACTTTAAATTATGTATTCACTTGTCAATAAGGTTTTGCAAAAAAAAAAAAGCGTCATTACTTGTCAGAGAGGGACTCATTTATGATGATGAAAGTCTTGAAAGACAAAGTTACAAGGTTCTGGGATGTGTTTTTTTAAAGCTGTAGGAAGTGAGGGTGAGAGAAACTTGATACAGACATCAAGACTTCAGTCTTGATTCGGCTTTTTAAAAAAAAATCTTTTTGAGATCCATGAGTTTGGTTCTTCACTGACACTGGCCTTCAGCATAGTTGTCCTTACGATATTATTCAGGAGATCATTTATTTGGGAAATACAAAAGTATTCTTTATGCAAAGTTGTTCCTATCAAGTGACACATTTTCCTAGAGAACTAAAGCCCTTCAGGTTGGATTTTTTGGGTCACTTGAATTAGGCAGAATGAAGTGAGTTAACCCCTCATAGTAATCAGGAGGTAGAATTCTTAAGAGTTCTCCCAAAATTCCTTCTGCAAGCAAGTTCCGTTATCGCAGCATGACCTAGCACATTTTCCCGTGGCAGAAGGATGTACTTAGATGATGATGTTAAAAATGAGGAGATTATAACCACCTTCTTGCCCTTTTTTTTATTTTTTAGGATCCCATTAATTAATATTGACCCTGGGGAGACCTGAAGTGCGATGCAAAGTGGTTACTGAAATTAATTATAGTTTTTCTCTTCTGCCTCTTTTAAAGATAACATTTGTGACATTTATTCTTAAGCATCTCTTCCTTTTGCTAAGTATAATGAGGGAGGAGAACTTTGTCTTGGAAAAGTTTAGTTTGGTCTTTCTGTGGACAGCATCTCATGTGAGTAGTGGAGGCAGTGATGTCCAGTTGTGTAAATAAATGTCTGGGGTTTGGTTCTGTGTGCCCAGGTATGCTCAGGGTCAACCTGGAGGTTCCTACCAGACGATCAATTAGCAAAATCATGCTCTCGTTTTGGAAAATCAATCTGTGAAGACGTTATTGGAAAGATTTTTTTCAAATGTGTTTGCCTTGTGCAATAGGAACTAGAGTAAAATTAGGAAACTTTCCTCAACTTCCGTTTATGAAGATTGTCCTGGAGTAAGGATGCAGTGACAGGCTTAAATTAAATCGCTGAAACTTTTTGGTCACTGATTACAATAACCTAGCCTGAAAATTCAATGCTTGAGGAGTCAGCAAGCAAATTAATAGGACCCACCTATTTGCAGGAGGGCAGGATCTTTGCAGCGCCATGGGGCGAGTGCCAAGGCATCGCGATAGCTCCATCTGTGTATTTCTTTAATCAGCAGCCACAAGTGTCAGGCTCTCCATTACCTGGGGTTTTTTGGTTTGGTTTTGTTTTTTCAGACAAGACTCCTTCCAAAGCCGAGTAATGACTCTGGAAGAGTATTTTATCGTACGGCTTTGTGGAACAGCTGTTTTCTGAATCATTTTCCTGATGTGTGCAAATTTATAGAAGGGAGTTTTCTTTTTCCCAACGTTGTACGCTGATCTTGCCCCGCTGTGCAAACCTTGTGAGTGCCGCGGGCGACGAACGTTAAATTCAGAGCAGTGTTCGTAAAAACACTTGAAACTTGTTTTCTGCTCTTACCGTAAGGAAGATCAGCATTAATGCCGCTTGTTTCAAATGCAGGAGGGTGGCAGGTACCTGTAATGCTAATACTGTTAATTCTCTTGCTGCCTCCTGTGTTTCAGAATTGAGAAGGAAATACTTTAGAGCTTATTGAATGAAGCTTGTAATATGAATTAGCTCTGTGCAACCTTAAACTTGAATGCTCCTGCGTCTCCGTACATGCAGTGATTCTGTTGATGTAATGCTTTGCTGCTTCTGGGGAAAAAGGCAAAGATTATTAGATAACATTTCCATTTGGTACCTTTGTTTTTAGAAATGGAAAAAAAATGTCTTGTGAAACGTTGAGTCCTGGTGTATGCTTTGAATTTTAGCTTATTAGTTGTGGTTGGCTCCGAGTTAAGGAATGTTTGGCTATTGTCAAGTGAAGTCCTGACAGTAAAAGCAATTCATGTATGTCTCTGGAAACACTTGTGTTGTTTTATAGCTGTAGTTATTACAGAAACAGAGGTGGGTCCAGTTTAAAAAAAAAAAAAAAAGGAAAATTATTGCTGTTCTGATTAGGTGAAAAATTGTAGAAACTCCAAATGAGCTTGGCTGATTTTAATAAGCACACGTGATAATTTGGAGACAGGTC